TGAAGCTTCGTAGGCCTATCGAAACCGAAGCGACAGGCAACTTCATCCACCATTGACAAGGCGAGCCAGGCAGTAGGCTGAATGGCCAGCATGGCCGGTGGCCAGGGCCGGCGGTCAACATGGCTTCGAATAAGCTCCCGGTTGTAAAGGCACAAGCAATCCAAAGAGCGAAGCGATGGAAAACAACAACTCACGAACTTTGGGGTCCAAACTCACAAAAATAGCACTAGCAGCAGTTTCTTGTAGGTAACTCTCCAGCGTTGTTTGTGAGCGAAGCCTAAGACGCCAGAGTATGTCATTGATAGGTGTATGCTTTCTATAGTGCATCACAGCAGCACCTCCTCTCAATCCTCCCGGCGTCAGCCGTAACTGAGAGGGCACTTGGCAGATCCGCAGCACAGCATCCCAGCGTCTTCTGTATGCTGAAGGTGAAGCTCCATACAGCGGGGTGTCTTTGGGCACATGAGCGTAAACAGCCGTGAGTATTCGCACTGCTGTCTCATCACGGATTTCCATGTGCTGAATCCGCGCTGGCTGGCGGCCCAAGGCCTTGAACTGTTTCAGCTGCAAAAAGATTCCTCCAAAGTCGCGATCCAGGATATCCTGGGGAAACACCAGATCGCGTCTCAAGCATCTAAGAACCTCACCAACGCGGCCTGCGCCGTAGTATGCTATCAAAGTCACTCCTACCCATGAATACCATTTCAACTGCCATGCGATCACAACAAATGCTTGCAGCAAACCTTCCGGCACTGGAACTCGATGACAAACTGGTTCCATGAGCTCCCACTTTGCCACAAGATCCCAACAAGGCAACGACAGACCTCTCAGAGGCGGCACCCACCTTCGGCAACACAGCAGCAAGTGACGAAAACTACTGAGAGCTCCACCTTTGTTGTACTGCCGTCTGCCATATGTACAGAGAGCAGCTGCCAAAAATTCAGGGATCCGGGGGTAAAGATGTTCAGGTTGCACACATGTCAAAAAATCACGTGACCAATTCATGAACATCTCTAAGGCTTGAGACTCTCGCAACAATGTCGTTGTAGATCGCAGCTGCACGGAATCCAAGTCATGTTCGCGCGGCTTCGGACGCGGTCGAGGTCCGGGCACGGTCGCTTCTCCAGGCCTGAGTGACCCGGTTTTTGAGCACCCGGCAACATCCAAACGTGATTGCTTTATCCATCCAGCGGCGATGCACATGGCCTTAGCCAGCAGGTCGTTCAAGTGTCGAGGATAAGGCTCTGCAACCTTTGTCCATGCCTTGCCATAGGGCGATGAGCCCCGCAGCTGCAAATGATTCTTCTTACAAAGACACATCAGACGCAAACCAGCTAAGCCTTGAATGTTTGTACCAAATCTTGTTGGTTTCTTCCAAGCCGTGCCAAATCGACAAAAACAGCACCTGAATGTCAAGGGAGATGTGGGACTCCTATACTTGCTGCAACGATGCTGTCTCCAAAACCATGAAGTGTCTGGATTCTCTATCCAGTAGAGCACTTGGCTGTCGCAGGACTCACTCAGATCAACGAGGTCCATAGCAAAGTCACAATGCGAATTGCCGTCTCTAACTTTCTTTTTCATGGCCGGAGAGATCCCCGGCAGCCCTCTAGGGTACTGATTCGATCTGACAGGCGGTGTCACCGCGACTGAAAACGAACCGCAGATGGGGGCCGCTCCCCAGCACTTGACAGCGCCAGCCTTGATGAGCTTGATGATCTTGTTCCTGATTCCCTCATCTAACAGGTCTTCACTGCTTCCCCTGTTCCATTCATAGCAAAGAACCCAGGGGGCGCCGTTGCGCACGAGCGCTTTTGCAACCCCAAAACACCCAGAGAAAAGGTCCAGAACACCAGGGCCTAAGAAACCGGTGAAGTGTTTGGGCAACATAAATTGCTTTGTAGGAAAACTGTTGAGCAGTTCTAGCGCCTCAGCGCTAAGTTCACAGCACTGCGGGTCGTCAAACGCCCTGCAATCAGTTCTGCCAAGTTGCTGTCGCTGCCGCGGAGGCAGGCGACGCTGCGGTCTGTCATCAGGCCGCACAGGAGTCAACAAGTCAGCGCAGCAGAAATCTTTGAAGTCAACCCGAAGCTCGTTGTCATCGATCCACTGGTCCAAACCGCGATAGTCGCCATTGCTGGCGTCTTCCCACCAGTCAGGCAAAGGCACGTCTGGCTCAGCTGGGTGAGTATCTCTGGTGGGACCATCAGCTCTATTAACAGCACTGGGGAAGTACATGTACGAAGAGTAGATATCGCTCCCAACAATGTGTGGAATAGATTTGATGAGTTCTCTGTTCAAGGCACGGGAAGCTGCCCTGCCTTTCACAACCGAGCCCAAAGTAACCTGCGAGTCCAAACCATAAAGGAAACGCCGATGGGTGTATTCTTGTGCAAGCCTACGTTCCTCGAGCAAGTGCGCCCTGAGTTCAAGAACATTGATGTGAGTCGACTTCTCAACTCGTTTGCGCCAACGTTCAGTATATTCGACACACCTGGCCAGAGTGACCCAAAGAGGCCTTGCATCAAAACAATCCTCCGGCAGCTCCTCCGTTTCGTCCAGAACCCCCGCAGCGCGTCGCCAGGCCTTGTGCGGAGGCAAGAGCTTCGACCATCTGCCTTTGCGCAACCCTCTTCTCGCCGCCTCGGAAACAATGCTTTGAGGTACTGAAGCACGAACAGCTGCCAACCAATGGTTCGAGGCATCTGTTGCAGTGATAAATGGGGTGTACTGAGCCCTGAGGTTGGCCGCTGCAAGGGGACCCAACAAAACCAAGCTCCAAAGCTCGCTGACCATGTCTGTGGACAACCGTATGATAGCAGCCTGTTGCGGGATTGCTATGGCTTCAAAAATAAAGTTCATTGCACTCAAAAACCTCCTCCGGATGGAAAACAATGAAACCCACGATCCAGCAATAGCTTCAAGCAAACTAACTGATGATAGCCCCAGCATAGCTACTCGTGCTGTCACAACAATGAGAGGCCACAGCCGGAGGGACGAGCCGCGCAAAATGCCTTTTTTGCCATCCACACCCCAGAATCTGGCTTTCAATTGATTGCGGAACTCCTTCTTGAGGTTCACCTCCAGCTTGTGTTCGGCATAGGCTTTCAAAGCAAGGTCGAGCCTGTCATCAGCCAGCGTTCGTGCAGTGACTTGATGCTGATCACCCAGCTTGCTCCATAGCAACTTCTCTAGCAGCACCAAATCATCAATGATGACTCCCACCCCAAGGATACCCCTCGGAATGTCACCTTGCAATGTCAACATCTCTTGCTCTGTCAACACTCCAGCACGAAGCATCATCGACAAATGCGAACACTGTGCAAACTCGCAGGCATTCTGGTCACCCATAGCCAATGTAGACAGCCCACAAAAAATTGGAGCCGTCCAGTCAGCAGGTATGGCATCCTTGCCGAAGACATACAAGGCTTCTTGCAGGGAGAGAGGATCAGCAAGAGCATTTCTGGTCGTTCTCTCCTGGCTGACAGCAAATTGGTAGAAGAAGTCCCTGAGGTCTTCCCCTGAAGCAACTAGCACCTGTTCATCTGTCAACACAACGTCAACCAATATAGCCGCTGATGCCATCGTCTTGCACCAGCAATTGAGAGCCGTGTCTGCTTGATTGGCAGGCCTGGCATCCAGTATCAGGCGGTCGCGAGTCAGGGATTTCGGAACTGCAAAGAGCCCCGACAAATGCTCCTTTCTCACACTGCTCCAATGCAAGGGCTTCAGCCGGCCAGTTTGGCAGAGCTTCTTGAGCAACTCAAGCTTGTTCTCTTTGGTCGCACGAATGTGGACGACAGGGGAATGGCCGAGGTCCTCCTTGGCCACGCCAGTCTTCAAAGGGCTCTCATAAACTTCACGGGTTGCATCGTCCAGAAGTGGCACAGGATTGAAAGCAGGCGGAGCCGGCAGCTCAATCCGATCAGCTTCGATGGCCTTTGCTGGACTGACGGTCACCTTGGGAAGCGCTCCAACAACTGTACCACAACTGAGGGATGCAGGAGGATAAACGGATTCCGGTTTTGTACCGTAGACACCAAAATAGTGTGATTGTCTTCCCTCTGTGAAAGCTAAAGCACGGTGCAGAGCATTGATGGCATCCTCATAGCCCTCAAACTTTGCTGCCCCTCTTCCCATGCCTTCAGCTTCAATAAACTGCGGTGTGTTGTCATCCCAGCCCAGATGTCTGATGATCTCAACTGCTGTCCATTGCTTCGCAGTCAGCTTGGCGCCCAGTCGCAAACTGTGCGGCGCGACTGAGGGTGATCCCAAGCAGAACCAATCCAACATGACGACTTGAAGAGAGAGCAGCCTCTTCTTTGCCAGCTCTTCACGGCCTTCTTGTCGGCCCGAGCGGAAAGCCTCCGGGTATGGGATTGGCATGGGCCATGTCGATCTGGAAGGCTGAGATGGTAGCTCTCTGTACGAGGGCTGTGGGCATTGGAGAATAGTACGCAAAAAATCACACAAACTGCAACTTGTTGACAGCAGCCAGCGTGGTAGTGAATTCATCACTGCATCAACTCTAATTGAAGAAGCTCTGGAGCCCGGAACTGTCGCATCCGGCGATGCAGGCTCAGCACTTCCATGGCGCCCAGGAGGGCGCTTCATGCATCGGGGGTTGCAGTGTTTTCCCCCTTCCGAGAAGGCCGTGACTTGGCCTTTCTCTTCGGAGAGGGGCGATCGTCGCCGCTGCCATGGTCTTCTTTCTTGCCACCTTTCTGAAGCTTCCTCCTCTTCTCGAGGTAGTCCTCCGTGTCTCGGAGCTGAGCCATCGCCACTTCGCTCCATCGTGGATCGAGCAGCTTTGAAAACGGCTGCTCTCCCATCGTCACGTCCGGCGGATGGTGCGAAGCCAGGTTGGCGAACGGGGGAAGAGCCTCGAGGCTCAGCACAGCTGCCATCTGCCATGAACCTCGATCTGCTGCCACTTGATTTAACTGGAGTAGAAGCAAGGCCGTCCGTGCGCGCGCCTCCTCGACCTTGCCAGCTGTCAAGCAATCCAGCACGCCGCTGACTCCCCAGCTGGCATGAGCTAGTGTCTTGAACTGACCGATGTATGAACGATGCTCCACCCACGCTCTGGCTGAGATTGCAGGTGCGCTGAGGCCGGGGGTCCTGCTCTGGCACCTCAAGTCCTCCTCCATCAATTTTTCTATCAACCCGTAGATCTCCTCCGGGCTGTGAACCAGAGCTCGCATCAAGGCTCGCCTGGCTATACTTGAGCGCTTGCCACCTCCAGAGCCGACATGTTCTCCATGTCCATGCACACCATCTAGAATGGAGTCTAAGGCAGGCTTCTTCTTGGCCTTCTCTGCGGCCAGGGTCTCCACAATAGTTGTCAGCTTCCCCAAAGCAGCTATCATTGGATCTTGGCCGGTGGGCGAAACAGCCTCGCCCGACCCAGCACCTCCTCCGGGGTCCTCGTCCTCCTCTGACTCTGAAAGCTCGGTCGCCTTCTTGGGCGGCGACGTCTTGGGCTCCTTCAGCTTCTTTGAGGGACCCGCCGCACTCAACAACCTCTGCATCTCCGTCAAGACGCTGTTGTCGACACCAGCCTGTTGAGCAGACTTCACAATTGCAGGGTCCAACAGCGGGAAAGCAGCTTGAGTCGCTTCTTGCCTGCCGGGTTGAGCAGCTTTGGCATCCATCTTCAACGCTGGAGGGCGGCTGGTTTTGGGAGCCCTGGTGCTCGGGCCTGGGGGGGCTGGAGTCTGTGACATCTTGTTCAGGATGTCCTGTATGCCGCTGGCCATGGAGTTGACTGTTTGCTCCAAGCCCTGGACTCTAAATGAAAGCTCCTGAGACCCAGATGCGGCGCCGTGCAGGGGCTGGGGGGAAACGGGCTCCTCCAGCTCCTCGGGGACTGAAAAGAAAGCAAAGTGGTCTTTGGCAACATCGACTAATGCCTCCGCAGCAGGATAACACTCTGCTGCACCATCCTGACGGAAAAGGAGCACGTCGTCTTCGATCTCCTCCTCTTCTCCAGGGAAAATCACACTCGCAACCAGGTCGTCGCGAAGGAAGCCCAGCCAGAGTTTCATAGTCTCTGTACTGACCAGCACTCTGTCGTCCGGTCCGCTCATAGCCACATCTGCAGCCGTCACTTTGGAGAGGCCACTGACGGGCAACAATCGTTGTGCTCTGAGGCGGTGCCATGCCGTGTAAGGAACTGCCACCAACACCTGCCCTTCCAGGCGGGATATGAAGATGATCTGACAGGCCACCTCTGGTGAAGTGCATTGCAAAATCCCGACAGGATAGTTGAAATCGATCCTGCCCTCTTGCCAAACAAAAGGAGGGGGTAAGTCTTCGCCAACCTCCTCCTCACCGAATTCCTCGAATCCTCCTCCGCCGCTCATCCCTCAATCAGTCCACCCCACTCGAACTCGCCCGCTTGGACAGCGGTGTTGATGTCCTCAATGGATGGCAGACCAACGAACACTGCGTCACCTAAATCGGAGCCTCGCTTCACAAGCTGCTTTGCAGCAGCCCACTTCGAGAACACACGAACAGGCTTGTACTCAATGTTGTCAAACGATCGGACGACCACCCAATAGCGAGAGGCCTGAGTGATCTGATCTCGACCTGAGGGACCGCGCGGTAGGCCCGAGACAGCTCTTCGAAGGAACTTGCCCACACTCTGCGCTGCACACACTCGTGTAGAGTCCAGCTTGGGAGTCACGGGTGCCTGAGATGCAGCCGAAGGAACCTGAGTCGGGGGTGCCTTAGCTGAATAGGTCAATGCCTCACTGTCACGGAGCTCGGAGATGAGGGTGAAAGGTCCGTCCGAACCTGTGTCCTCGAAAGCCTCAGACACGGTGTTCTGAAGTGCCCTCAGCTCCCCTCGAGTGCTGTTCAGCTGGGATCGCAAGCTCTGAACCTCACCACCCAACGATGTCACCTGATCCTGCAAGGCGTAAAAGTCAGCAGGATTGATGGGAGTGCTTGGCATTCAATGCAACCGGTATAGCGACCGGGAGGCCGGAGTTCGCTCGGTCGGAGCGGGGCTCAACAATCTTCGGATTGCCCAGACCCTAAAAGCCACCAAAACCTCAATCAGAGGTAACAGAACCACCCCAATGATGATGCCAATGAAACAGGACCACGAATCAAACCTCCAGGCGTCCAGAGGGGCAGCACAGTACGGGGTATATGGCGCGAGCTCCGAATCGAGTAGCGACAACGCACGGCCCACGGTTCGAGCCGAGATCATCCTTGAACCGCCGAGGATGGAAAACATCCAAAGTATCCACCCGGCAGATCGAACCCAGATCCCATCCCGAGTAGCTTCTTGTTACTAGTAGCGTCCTTGCTCCTAGTGGTACGGCCAGGAGCCCCGAGTAATTAGCGTCCTTTGCTCCGTTCGTAGCGATGCCAGGAGCCCCGATCGTAGCAAACATTGCTCCTAGTAGTGCCAGTTTATTGCCGTGAGAATCTGCAAACTGAAAACGGAGAAGGTGTTGATTCTTCGGGTCCACCGCCAGTCCAAGGGTTCTTACGGGTGGGCTTCTAAGATCAATCGAAAAATGGTTGAGCTGGTGCTGGAGCCTAAAATCCTTAGTAAAACCCTGATTGTTCAGTAAGACTATTCTGAAATGATTTGTGGTTGGGAACATAGGGAATTGTTGATCTCTTTCCATGACTTGTGATACAAACTGTTCTCCAAGGGCACCACGAAGCTGGGATAGGAAGCAAGTGGCGCCACCGGTTCTCTAAACCACACTCGTCCGGGGGAGACGAGTTCCGGCTGAGTTGCGGAGAGGATACATGGAGGTCTGCAGTTGGAGGTTCACTAGACATCACTTGGGACGACTGAGAGGTAAAAAAATGGATTCCTCTCAAAAGAATGATCTGACAAGGCCTATATAGGCGTGGTAAGTTGGAGAACTGAACTGTCTGAATCCGTCGTCAAAGGGGCATATGTCGACTTCGGCTAGTCTTGCGGTCTAAGCACCATCCATCCTGGCAGTTTCCTCAGTTTGGTGTGTGGTACTCAAAACCCGCGAAACCGGGGCATACGCTTCAAAACCCAGGTCATATCCCAAGGATTGGTTGTCCCTAACTACCTTACACAAACCCAGGTCCACCTTTCACTCTTTTCATCTCCTCGGCTTCGGTCGCACGATCCCTTCCGCACGTCCTCCGGGCATCGTCGCCCTTCCGCCACGTGGCGTCAGCATTCCGTCGTGTCGTCGCGTCGATTCGCGTCGCGCGGCGCGGAACGCAGGAAGCTCTCGGCCTCCGAGGGTGGCACCCGGAACGAAGGCCGGAGGCATGAAGAAGTTCTTCACCCCGCTTTTCTCGTACTGCTCCTGCGGGAACCGCCGCCAGTGTGGGAGTTGAGTTTTTGGGCGCCCTGGATCTGGAGTTGAACCTAAGGACGGTGAACACCTGGTCTGGGTCTTCACACGCTCAAGCTGCGTTCTGCTTTTCAAAAGCCCAAGGAGGCGGAGAAGGAGGAGGAGGAGGAGGCATTGAGTTTGTGGGATGAATCCTCTCATCTTCGGCGGCCAAAAGGGGTTGAGGCCAGGACCCTCCTGGGGTGTCAAATAGGACCCTCCACAGTCCTGAAGACCTGGTCCCAGAAACAAGTCATGAGGAACCACAGTCCCAACAACCACAAAGGCGCTGTGTAAAGAATCTCAAAAACGCCACGGTGAAACAACCAGAATGGTTCAAAACTGTTCAATCTGGGTTTCCAGGGTGAAAGGGTTTCAAGACCCTGAGAGTACCTTGCAATGCGCACCCCGAATGGGACATCGGGTTAGGATTCCCCCCCCCAGTTAAAAGCCTCCAGTCGTCTGTGAGTCCCAGAAGTGGTGTCCAGGAATTCTTAAGCACCTAACGACTCATTAATTTTGAAGCCATAATAGGATTCCTCTATTTTCCCTCTAACATCGTTGTTCGAATAACGTTAATCCATCGAGTGAAGGATCACCTGGCAGTCTCTGCGGTCCAACCGTCCGAACCAGTGATGGTCCGAACGGACCAGGAGCTGGAGGGGGTCCGTGCCGAGTTGAGGCCATTGGGATCCCTTGGGTCTTCCATGTTTGACCAACAGAGGTGGGTCAGAACCCGGACGTTCGACTATCTCACTTCGATACCCCTGACGGGTCCTATGGTCCCGGTCACTTAACCTACCTCTGCAGGTATGCTTGGAGTCTACCGTTGGTACCTCGGAACATGGGTGGAAGGCGTCTGATGATCTACCGTTCTTCGGGCGAATATCCCACGCCCTACGACCACCGGTACCGACCGAGACAGTCGTACCAAGCAATCCCGATCAGGGAAGACCTCATTTGGGTGGTAAAAACACCAGTTGCGAAGTGTAAAAACACCTGGTTTCGTCAGACTGAACCTCTAGGGAAGAGAAAATGGCCATCTATACCAGTACCAGGACCAGCCTGAGTGACCTCTGTTTTGATCGGAACTTGGACCTGATGGTCACCTGGTCCAAACCTAGAGGTCACAAACAAAGGAACGCCTCCTCTTGGTGAGCCCGCCCTCTTCCCCTGTGTACGGCCTCCTCTCGCCCAAGTGTGGCGCGAGAACCTCGGCCCGTCCACATCGCCCGTCGTCGTGGTCGTTTTCGCCTGCAGTCGCATGGCTGCACGAACCTCGCTCAAGCCGGGCACCGGAGGTCGCACCGCCTGGCCACGCGGAGGTCGCTTGGACCGCGAGCGGACTGCGAGGCCGGCTATGGACCCGAGCAGGCAAAAGCTGCAACCTGGTGCCCAAGTCCAGAGTCCACGGATGTATTAGGGTTGAGGGTTTAGGGTTTTTCCTGGCGCATGGCGTATGGTTTTCACGTTTCTTTTTGGTGTGGCCATAGGCCATAGGCCATAGTTGGACAGAATGTCCCGTGTAGACTCTTAAAGAATGAGCGTATTTAGCCGTTTTGGACGAAACATACCATACAAAACCGTACCCATGTGAAACCCAAATGTTATCAAATGTATGTGTTTTTTTTGCAAAAATAGAGTAATACAGTATTGCAACAAAGCCATTCTTCCGACCAAAAGGCCATTCTTCCGACCACAAGGCCGGATGCACTGATGTGTTGGGCGAACGCGTTTGAACAGAGATGAACATGCAATAACATGATAACATGCACATAAAAGGGGTCCCCTGGTTGGATTTCTAGGGGACCCAAAACTAGACATGGCCCTAGGCTTCCTGGCCCACTATTGATTTAATAGCCTGAATCCCGAATCAACTAAGGGACTTTACACTATACTACAAAAACCAGGTCAACAATTTTGTTGATGGTCTTGGACGTCTAGGGTGCTATAGTCAGTGATAGTCTTCGGACTTTGCACTTCCATGGTAGTACCCTGAGAGTACAGAAGACTATGACGAGAATTGTCCTTAGAGTACCTGATTTCGGGGACTTCCTTTACTTCGCTGGGAACTCGACTTCTGTGGTGCCATTGAACTCCTTCAAACGTGGGCCGCCTGAACAAGTTCCCCCAAGGGATTTTGTCTCCTGCTCTCTGCTCTTCAGACCTCCTTCAACCCCACCCCACCCCCAAACAAAAAAAGAAAAACGCACACATACACACACCCTCTTGCCTTCCGTTCGGCCATCTTTAAAGTGGTTGACCTGGTTTTGCAAATATCGTAAACGATTCAAGTAAAGCAATGTTTGTTCGGTAAAGGCAACAAAGTCAATGGTAGTTGGAAGCCTAGGGATACAAACACACGGCCTTGTGCTCACTAACTGAAGCAGCTCCAAGCTCTTTCCTTTTCAACTGTTCATCTCCACTTGTTCCATCCGTGCCCAAAAGCAGCGGAAGACACCGAACACCCCACCCCACCCCACCAAACCCACCTGCGTGAGAATCTTGATCGCCGCCGAGTTGGAACTGCTGGAACCGTGCGTGGCCAACCAAACGCTCAAGATGCCAAAGGTGATCGCACTGAACACGCTGTTGTTCCTTTCGTTACGTCCGAACCGCTCGAGACGTCTCGACCGGTCCGACGTTTGCGTTTCGACGGTGCGATGGGTTGGACGGAAGAACACGTCGTGAAGAAACGGAAACAGTGTTGGCAGGGAAGGAAGTAGACCGGTTTGGTTCCCCTTCAATCAGGTTCTCCAAACTTGTCAGACCAGTCTTTTCATCTTTGACTCTGCAGGCTTTAGGCTACAAAGATCAGGTCAGCGGAATTGAAAAGGCGGACCGACTCGAGCTTCTTGCCTCTCCGCTTCATTCGCGACTTGAGTGACTTGGTCCTATCGGTCGGTCATGGATTTCGCCATGAAAAACCATGGTGCAATCTGTATACCAGCACCGAACCCAAGTCCGGTCTCCGACATGGAGGGTTGGGCAGGGCCCTAACAAGTTTCAATTGGTGACCTGTTGGTCGTCGGTGCTGGCACCAGGAAGTCGACCGTTCCACAATCCGTAAAACAATGGTGCTTGGGAATGAAAAATCCAGTGAAATCATGGTGAGCGACCGGAAGCCCAATGGGCATCGTTGAAACGCAGTGGCCTCGGCTCGGATCATTTCCACGTGACATGGAGTGGTTTGACCACGAGAACCGCTGCAAACACTCCATGTCATGTGGTCCGAATCCCTAACCCAGTGCATCCAGTTACCACTATATAGCTGGTAACCAGTGGTTCCAAAGACTAAACCCATAGACCTAGAATCCCTGGTTCATTATATATAGTGGTAACTGGGATCCACTGGGTAACACTTCATGTACACCTCACTGCCAGGTCACCAATTGACACCTCTTAGTGCCTGTTGCAAGGTGCGGAAGTATCAGAGTATCATGGAAGATATGGCCGATCAACTGGGGTGTTTCTTTTTTTCTAAACGTGGTCTGTCTGGGGTGGATGTTCCATACATGGAGTGTCAGAATACATGTAGTCTCTTGGCACCCAAACAAGGCGGAATTGGATCGTGCCCGAGTTCCGGTCGCCCACCCCATTGATTCCAGATGCTGACTTGCTGACTTCCAGAAACAGCATTGCTTTAATCCAGGATTTGACACTGCACTACAACCAGGTCAACCTCCAATTTGAGTGGTCTTGCAATGCCAGGGTCTCAAAAACACCTGTTCGAAGACGACACTCTCTACAAGCAAATAGAACATGAGGTTTAATGCAAAACCAGGCCTGCACCCTCCGTGTTTCTCGGTGTTGCCAGTGTTTCCCTCTGTTGCGAACACCACCTGGCTGTGGGTCCCTAGCCAAAAACACACTCGCATACACCCACCACACCTCCCATCCCATCCCCCCAGCTTCACTGAACTTGCCACTTCAAACCCATCCACTGCGCAGCGTCCGGCCGAGGTGCCAAATCAGCAGCAGCCACGGCGGCTCCATTGGAAACTCCTCGAGCGCGCTCGCGAGCTGGAAGGACGATCACTCAGATCAACGTAAAACAGTTGGGAGAGTCCCGTACGATGTTTGAGATGAAAGCCTTCTTTCTAATCTTCTTCAAAGGATCCCAGACAGCATGGAAAATATCACATGTGTTCATTTTAGAACGGGTGAGGTTGTGAAAAGGAATTCGAATCCATAGTACCCCAAAAGAGGAAATCGAGGGATCGAATCCGCGATGGGGGAGAATCCGGAAGAGATGTTTGAGAAGGGTTCTTTTCTTTCCGTGCATCGCTAGTAGTAACAAGTGCATCGCTATACTAGTAACTAAGTGCCTTACTAGTAGAAACAATGTGTGCTATTTCTTAACTTAATGCCGTAATGCCCCCATCTTCTTCGGTTTTCTTTCCATCTTCTTCAAAGGAATTCGATTCCGGAGAAGCATCGAGAGAGGGTGTCTCCCAGAGGAAGCGAAGAACCAACACACCAAACGGCGATGGCGCCCACCGCCCACCGCAGACGAGACGGCAGAGGAGGAGCACAAACTGAATATACATAGTTCCCATCGGGCAAAAAGTGCTTAAAATTACTTAAACAGATATTAAGATTTATGATTAACTATATTTGCAGTATGCCTTCTTACTTTGTAAGCAACGGAGTTGAAATCCCGATGACGAATGAAACCTTTGACTTTATTTGGAACGGTTTTGGAAACAAAGAGCTGACTGACAGCGAAACGGTTTCTTCATCGGAAGAAAGCTATGAAGCAATTTCATCAGTCCAACCACAAAACCCCAATGGAGAAAGCATGAAAACCGAACGACGAAATGTATTTCCAAAGATATTACCAAGAGAAAACGAAACAACCGTGTGTATGCGATATATGCGGTTCTGCCTTAAGTTGCAAATCAAACTTGGCAAAGCACAAGAAAACGAAGAAGTGCCAGACCAGCTTTCATGGATGCCCAGCATGACCGAGCATGACCGAGCTCAGAAAAGACCGAGCTCAAGCATCAGCTCCACAGGTGTTATTTGTGGATGTTTTTGTTGAAAAGAAACCATCCTCACCTGGCAGTCTGGATGGAACTCCCCGAGTCCCGGCCACTGAGTGAATCTCCGGACCCAACAGGTCACCACCTGCGACTGAAATCAGTCTGCATTTCAGCCTCCAGTTCAGAGACCCTGTTGGAAGGTGCTGGCCAAGAGCCATATTGGAACAAGCTTCGAACTGCTTGGGACTGGGTTGGCCCCAGCTCGCCCCCAGCTCGCCCGCTTCTAGGAACAGTGTCCCACGCCTTCGCCAGCAAGCAGACCATCCAAAGAGTTCGGTTCACCTGGTTTCCTATAGATCATATAGTCACTATTCCTTGCCCAGATGCTGGACCCGATTCCTTTTGGAGGTGTCTCACCCATCCCCGGCCTGTAAAAATCCACCCTCACGTCTCTCCTGATAGCCCACGAAGATGAAACCAATGATGCAGGTCACCAGCAAGGCTCCCACCACCATGTAAGTGTTCCTTGCTGAGGGCAGCGATCCCACTTGGGACGATGAAACTGGACCATGTCCAATTGGTCGAAAATCGTCAAAAAAGGAATACATGTGGTAAAAACATGTGGAAAAAATCTGAAACCAACATGAACATGGTCTTTCTATGTAAAAAATTCTAATTATGTCCTTCTGAATGATTGCTTCCTTACCAACCACTCAGGGGCAAAGAATATGAGAATTGTTGCACTTCTCGCCTCGTTGGCACAACCCCCATCAAAAACCATGCATGGGACGTCCCATCGGCCGTCATGGATTGTTGGGTAGTGGACCAGTGCATACATAGCTGTGGACTCGTTGGCGCTCAGAGAGTGCGCCATCGAAATCGCATCGTGCGGAGCGAAATCACTCTCCAAATCCGGCAGTGCTTGCCATGCGAGTCAACAACCCCTTGTTACATTGACGACCAACTACAGCAGCACAGTCACTGCCTGATACTACTGCTGGTGGTAAGTCCTCTGCTTCTCGTTGGACGGGTGCAGATCATACAGCTACGAAAGGGGAAGTTTGGAGGCTGCATCCCTTCCAAAAGCAGTGTCAACAGACTGCTGTTGCACCAGTTTTGGGGTACCACCAATTCGAGATTGGTAGCAGGGGTCAGGACCCGAACCAAACCCTTCCCATTGGTCCAGGCCCGGATTCTCAAAAAAAAACCAAAGGATATCCCCAGGATTTGTGTCCCACCATTCAAACCTTCTCCGGCAAAGCGACCTCCATTTCTTTGAACGGTTTTGGTCACTTTCGGTGACTAGGTGGTTCGTCAGCTCGTGCCGCCCAAAGGACATGTTGGAGGTCGTCAGCTCAAAGAGGTCCCGGACATCTTCGCGGAAGAGTTTCCACAACTCCAGTTTCATGCTCCTTGGGCTCTGGGTCGATAGCCGTGCTCGAAACGCTACATGTTGGCCCGAAACGCTGGTGTGCTGTTTTGGGGCCTCAGGTGGGTCACGCATGTGGGATCCGTGGGGGTCCCTAGCCTTCCAAGATGACCATCAAAACGAGGCCGGTTGACCCGCAAAACAAGGGTTGGTCCATTGAAGGCCATAAATCAATGGTGGCTGGAATTCTATAGGGCTTGTATGAGTTTGTTTTAGTGCGCACCTAGGATTCATGAACGCCCCATAATAATCAAGGGGGGGCACTTTTAATTCGGATGTTTTTTTGTTTTTTCTTCGGAAATTTGTTCAAAATCCTTGGGGCTCACAGTTCGCTGCTATTTACGGCAACCTGGGGAAATTGGGATTGGCTCGCAGCTCACTTGCGCACGCAAAACTCACCTCACTTGCGCAAGCGATCCATGCATCTACTTGGTGATGAAGAGGCCATGTCCAAAACATCACTTGCGCGCTAGCGCATGCATGAACCCTTTGCCCACGCTGCGACTCACTTGCGCACACAGGCGTGTTGCTACTGCTACATTGGAATGACACCTTCCTCTTCTAAGTTTTACCTGCGGGTGGCTCACAAAAGGTCTGCTATGTTGGAATGGCACGTTCCTCCTCTAAATGTCACCATCAGGTGGCTCACAAATGGGCAGCTGTGTTGAATGGTTCCTACCTTCTCTAAATTTTACCCTCAGGTGGCTCACAAAAGGTCTGCTACCTTGAAATCACATACCTTGAATGGCTCCTCGCTCTCATCCAAATTTTGGCTGTGTTGCATCTTGTAGGCACCACATGTAAGCAGCGCAAAACAAATATGACATACATATGCGCAAAGCATATTGAAGCTTCTCTGTCCAATGTGTTCGCGCAGCTAAAGAATATAAACACGAGCGTGTGCAAGCTGTTCAGTAGTGCAGACCGAACAGCAACAAATGCAGCACAGTAGACCAAACAGCAACAAAAATCAACAGAAGCAACAGGAGCAGAAAAGCAGCAAAGAAACAGAACCTAGTCAAAAAAATCTAAAACAAAGCAGCAAAAAACAAGGTAAACACCAAAAGCCAAAAGAGCAAACAAGCAGCAAACGGAAAAAAACAGTAAAAGCAAAAGCAATGCAAAGGAAAAGCAGCAAATGCAGAAAAGCAGCAAAATAAGAAACGCAACAAAAGCAATAAAGCAAAAACAATGCCAAAAAAAGCAGCAAAAGCAGAAAAGCAGCAAAGGCAAAGTCTGCTGAAAAAAAAGAATCCCAACAAATAAAAATAAAACACCCTAAACAAATGCCCCTCCTTAATCAAGCCCAGCTCGAGCCCCCAATACTAAACTAATTACAACCTGAATGTCCACCTTGCCATCCCCCTAATATTTATTTTCCTGGTCAGAAACTCCTATTAATCAAGCCCAGCTGCACCAGAAAAGAGTATAACTATAGTCTAATATGCAATTGCGTTTATTTTTTCTGTTCTTTTTGGGCAGTATCCAATATCTTTTGGTCCATGGTGAAACTGATCTTCTGATCCATCCTTGTCTCACGCCATCTCTTTGAGAGACAGCATGCTGATTGGGGTCATCATGAGGGTGATGTGGTCCTCCAATACCTCCAATCTCCTTGTTGACCTTGTTCACCCTGTAAGGGGGGGGCGTTGATTCATCCAACGTTGGCACTATAAGATGTACCCTAGGCTTCCAACCATCATTGATTGAAAGGTGTAATTCCGAACAACCTGTGTTTCACCAGGGAATTTACACTACAACAGGTCAACCTTTCTTTTAAAGGTCTTGGAAGCCTAGGGCATATAAATATATATATATATCAAAAAAAAATAAAGCACTCGGATTCGTTCCAAAACTGGACTTCCGCAGCCTGCAGCAGGTCACCCAAACGGACGAGTGACCGTAACGTGGTGAAAAAACTGCCCAGCGTTAAAGGTGTCCGTCTGAGGTCTTGCGGTGGATCGTAGATCACAGGCTACCAGGCTACCAGGTGCTGGTGTCAACCCCAAACAAAGAACATGAAGGACAATACGATCAGTCAGGAAAAAAGGCTCCGACCGAGACGGGACTCATCCTCCCAAATACCCATCCAAATCGACCGCAAAAGATCGACTGCAAAAAAAATGTTTTGGCCGCCGCCCTTTGAGATTGATCGATCCATTTGGCCGGAACGGGGCTGAGACGTGTGTGCTTGCCCATGCTTGCCGATCGCGCAGAACAGGGGTTCAAGCACCGCAGCCTGGCACACCAGGCTCCTTACTCTATGCTGGGCGAAAGGCGAAAGGTTGAGCATTCCTTCTTTTGGAGCATTTGGGAGCATACATGGGATGCTCCAGGCATACGCCCCGGTGGCATACCTCGGATGCCGGAATGGCGCACGTCAGACGCCGAGAGGAAGGATGCAAAGAAGATCGAAGAAGGAAAATGAGCTTCCCCGACAGCTGAGGGCGTCAGTGCTCCACTTCCACAAACAGTTCAAGCTTTTCACTGAATTGAAAGCAAACGAAGTTGATTGTATATGGTCAGTCACATGAATTGAGTGTTGCAACTCGTCCTGCGTGTCGTGGATTTGGTGGAAAAGGAGCGCTGCTACGCATGGGGCCCTCTTTACAGCTGCCCTGCGGCCGCTTCAGCGCAAGTATCATGGGACTTGCAGCGGCGATCCAAGTCCGTCATTTCCTGCTACAGCATGGCGGAGTCGTCCGAGACCGTGGTTCCACGGTGAAATCGCTCGCAAAGACCGATTGAATGAGATGGAATGGTTGAATCTCAAAGAACACTATCTGTTTCACCTTTTTGGGGGGCTCGACTACACCACCCAAAACCAAACCTCGACCGAACTCTTTGGAGGGTCTTCTCGGACACCAAAGTACACTCACTGAAGACATCCTACCAACAGCGTTAGATCACGTCAGTAATGGCCGACTGTGCAGCAGGAGTGGGTTCGGATATTGACCTCACCCAAAAATTGTGGTGCATGGAAGGACCATGCAGGAAAACGTTGAAAAGAACCCAAATGCCAAATACTTGCATCTCACTGACCAACAAATGCGGGAACGAAATATGTGGTGCCCAAACGCGCTGCCAAACAGCCCTATTTGAGACCCCAGACCTCTCCGAGGGACCGGTCCCTCCATATGAGGGTCCAGGGTCGCGTCTGGGTGTTTCGATGCACCGCAGCAACTTCACAAGGCCACTGCATGCCGAATCAGCCCACCTGGGATGAGCGAGACGCCGAATCTCCCTGGGGTTCCTGGCCCGCCATTGGTTTTAAGGGTCTTTCCATCCCAAAACAGCCAGTGTTTTTCCAAGGAGTTTAGACTGCAACCCTCAGGCCAACATGGTTTTTAATGGTCTAAGGCTACTGGTAGGGTATGATGCCTGGACCAAAAGCTGATCCTTGCATGCTGAGAGGCTGAACGGCACCGTCGTTGACTGGTCTGCGGTGCCGGCATCTTGAAGCGGATGAACGTGTTCCAAACTGGTACATCTGCTGAATGGAAATCCTCAGATCTCTCACCTACCTAGCGCGTACCTCTCACCGAGGTGTCAAATGGAGACCTATATATACTGCTATATATAATTTAATTTTGTATTGAAGTCCAAGACCATTAAAGAATTGGTGGATGGTGGACCTGGTATGATCTGGTGTTGTAAACTCCTTAGCAAAACAATTGTAGGGGACCTACAGGTGTTTCTTGGTGACCCTGAAAGGAAGCAGCTGTCAAGTCTGGCCAGACTCTCACTCGCCCAAAAAAAAACGACAGGACACGGAATCAGTTGTGGTGCCTGTTTTGGGGGGGGGGCAGGTTAGGGTTTAGTACGTTCCTCCCAAAAAATCGAATTGCTATTCAGAAAATGATTCCTTTCACGGTTCGGTTTGGTCGGGTCCATGCTGCGTTCCATTCGGTTCCTTTTTACAAATGCTGGGATCATGGGCCAGGGCGAGTAGAAAGCTCTCGTCTGAGGTGGCGAGTAGATCGGATCCTGGGTGAAGGAGCGGATCCAGTGTGAAGGGGACGTCTTTTTTCAGTGGATCCAGGCTGACCACGCGGGGGCACCAGTGGTTCCGGTTCCAAAGGCCAACACCGAAACCATAGACCGACCGAGATACCCAGTTTCGTCAAATATATATATAATATATACAATATATACAATATATATAACATATATATATATATAATATATATAATATATATATATATATGTACGTATATAGCTAACTGGGATCCACTGCGAAAGGTATTATTCCGTTTCGATAGAGGACACAAAAATATAGACTGGAAGTGGCCTCAGTACAAGTTCCACTTGCCTCATGTTCATGGCACATGCACTGGATACATGCTCACTATGAAGAACAAGTCTCTTGTGCAATCGTGCATGGTCTTTGTGGTCATGTAGCACAACCAATGAAACCAGGAGAGACCTGGAACAGGGCCCTTCACAACCCTCGAACGAGGTGACCTGGCAGTGAGGATGCTGGTATGGCATAAGTTATCTACATTGACCCTTGAAACCACCCCGCTGTAACTGGAAACCCAACAAATGGATGGAACTCCCCAGTCTCAACCACATGTGTCTGCAAAGGATCTTCATTGCCATATTGGACGCAACCATTTCCAGGACCCGAAAAAGCACAGGTTGCCGTCGCCACCTGCAACTTGCCTGCATTGCTCCATTTCGGAGACTGGGAGGGCCCAGGCCCAGGTGCTTCTTTTGGGGGACGGGGTACACCCAGGTGACTCTCTGATCTCTCCAAGTCGCCTTGTTGGCAGTCTCCAGCTCCCTAAGTTGGGACCAAAAAAAATGTCCAACATCCACATCGATGCGGCCGAAACATACGAACGGAGCAAAGGGCATCGCTACGAACGGAGCAAGAAGCTACTAGTAACAAGGGCATCGCTACTAGGAACATTCTTGCTTCTAGTAAACTGAAACCGAAAGCAGTGAGTTGGGTGCGCGAGGAAGGAAGCGATAGGAAGGATAGGGGGGGCCGACATCACCACATCCACTCGCCATAAGGGACGAAAAAGAACGACATGGAATTGCAGACCCTGCCACTTCAAACGGCTGCGAAGCTCCTCGAAGAAAAAGGTTCCCTACATGACAACCGCTGACGTTGTAAACATGTCTGTCAACCTGGACCCTCACTGCCAGGTCTCCTCGTTTGAGGATTTGGGAAGGGCCCTGTTCTAGGACAAGCCATTGGAGCCCCGGCAGTGATGATGCTGGCAGAGATCTCTAGCATGGATCAACCATGCCAAAAAAAACACATATAATAATGACACATCACTACATGTCTATCTCCACAAAGGAAGGGGGTGGAATATGCATGTTTTCCAATGTATGCAGGTAGGGCTACAAATGTCGACAAGTGTTTTTCCCCAGATAGAAAAGCTATGGCTATGGGGTTCTTACTTCAGAAAACAATGAGTTGCCCGTGCGGCTTTCGAGACAGGTTGCTGGTGCTGGTGTGAGCTGCCTGTCAACGTGGTGGAGACAGAATGCTGGTGCTGGTGCCGGGCGCCGGTGCTGGTGCTGGGCGCCGGGTGCCGGTGCTGGTGCTGTGAGCTGGCTGCGCACGTGGTGGAGACAGGTTGCTGGTGCCGGTGCTGTGAGCTGGCTGTGCGTGGTGGAGACAGGTGGGTGCCGGTGCTGGTGCTGTGAGCTGGCTGTGCATGAGGTGGAGACAAACTGCTGGTGCTGGTGCTGGTGGTGGGTGCCGGGTGCCGGTGCTGGTGCTGGTGCTGTGAGCTGGCTGTGCACGTGGTGGAGACAGGTTGCTGGTGCTGGTGCCGGGTGCCGGTGCCGGTGCTGGTGCTGGCGCTGTGAGCTGGCTGTGCACGTGGTGGCTGGTTGGTGGTGCTGGTTGCCGTTGCTGGTGGTGGTGCCGGGCGCCGGTGCTGGTGCTGGTGCTGTGAGCTGGCTGTGCACGTGGTGGAGACAGGTTGCTGGTGCTGGTGCTGGCTGGTGCTGGTGCTGGGCGCCGGTGCTGGTGGTGTAGCTTGCATATGTGAGGGGGTCTATTTTCGGATCATGTTCCCAGATAGCGAAGCTATGAGGTTCTCACTTCAAGTAACAGTGAGCTGCCTGCGCGCGCTTTCGAGACAGGTTGCCGGTGCCAGGTGCTGGTGCTGTGAGCTGGGAGAGAGGTGCGCGTGTGGTGGAGACAGGGTGCCGGTGCTGGGTGCCGGGTGCCGGTGCTGGTGCTGTGAGCTGGCTGTGCACGTGGTGGACAGGGTGCCGGTGCTGGTGCTGGGTGCTGGCTGTGCACGTGGTGGAGACAGGGTGCCGGGTGCCGGTGCCGGGTGCCGGTGCTGGGTGCTGGCTGGAGGGGATTTTTTGTTCCCCATATAGCGACAGCTATGGGGTTCTTATTATTTCAAAGGACAATGAGCTGGCATGTCAACAGGTCGTGGGATTCTGCCTAGCTATCTGGGTCTATGCTGGTGTAATTGTTGGTTTTTAAGGAGGGGTTGACATATGGAAAAGGGATTCCGGACGTATCAACATAAATTGCGTAGGAGCAGCTGTAGGCCCTAAGAGCCTGTTGCCCCGGTGCGTACCCTCATGCCTGGTAGCTGTGCTTGTAGCTATCCAGCTTGGGTGGGGATCATGATCAGCAAAAACAATACAGTCGAATTCTGTTTCTCTCAGTGCTTCTAAAAACACCGGTTCCAGGATATGTCGGACAGGGGGGACAGCAAGACTCGAATAGGATGGAGGAGTATCTGACATGTCACACGCCCATCCAGGAAACTCCAGCAGCCCTAGTGCAAATTGTATGAAGCCATGGGGCCATGGGGTTGAACAATGTTTTGGAATTCATGGGAAAGTGTGAAGCTGATCGTGGCTATTCTCAGGAAATTGATTATCCTAATGATGTATGAAAGCAAGGGAGGGGCCGCCCTCATGAAGCATACTTCTGTAAATATGTATGAAAGGGGGGCTCGGACATTCATAATCAATCGTCGTGATATTATCATCAAATAAATAGCATCAAACAAATGACATAGAATTGTTTCCTGTAGGAATGAAATCTGGACACCGAGGACATGTATTGCCTTGTTTGGGAGTAATTACTCCCCCCACAATATACATTTATGTGATCGGGTGATCATGATACATACTCGACGTATCTCGAACTTTCATTTCTATACCCGTTTCATGTCACGATCCAAAACACCGAACGTTGATGGCTCGCCTTTTTCGGAGACCGTTCTTCCGCTTAACCGTGGGGCGCTTCCAAGACCTTCAAGCGTTGCATGGCCATTGAGAAGTCTGTCTTGGAAAGGACACAGCCCAACTTCTTGTGCAAGCGCTGACGGATCCGCCTGAAGACGACGACGCGCCACCGACCCACCACAGATGAACACGGAAACGACACCGAACGGTGAACCCACGGAACACTGGGCCCGTTGCCCTACGTCCGACCCAGGTCTAAACCTGGTCGACTTGACCTCCTTCAGTATTGGTTTTGACCATCTCCAGTATTTCATGAGGTCGTCGTTTCGTTTCGTTTCGCCGTGCTGGCGGGAAAAGCACTTCGTGGGTTTGACTCAAAAAACGGGAATCGAAGCAGATCCAAGGCATCGGGGGCTGGGCCAAGGGTATCAACTCCACTCCAACAATCGGAGTTGGAGGGCCAAGCATCTCAAGTAAAGGTCGAAGCATGTTGAACATCAAAAGATCTGAAACCACCACCTAGCAGGCCAAGGGGTGTCAAAACTCACAGCCCCTTAGGTCCTTAGGTATTGCTTCAGCAATCCCCGCTTGGTCGAAGACGGTTCCGCGGGCGGCTGGTTCGAACCACGGTCTGACAGTTCGGGTCGTGAAAACACCGAACGCCTCCAGGTCTCCAAATCGGCGAGTTCAAAGCGGACGAAGCATTGGTGACGCAATGAGGATGCAAACACTCCATGTGGACCCCAGACACAACTGATGAGACTGGCATGGACTGGAATCCTACATTGGGGTGGTTGACCTAGGGTCGATGTAAGTATTCCAATCATGCCGGAATGTCTGCCTGTTCGAGAAAACCAGCCAAGTTCGACAGAAATGATGAACTACTAGCAACAGCAACAAGCTACTAGGTGGAGGCCATCGCTATGGGGTTGGAGGCCATCGCTACGAACGTAACAAGAATTAAGCTACTAGTAACAAGGGCATTACTACTAGTAGCAAGGACGCTACCTCCTAACCGAAGGAAGAGGGTCGCTCTGGGACCCGCGGTTCGGGTAGCTCACGGGTACCCCGTCACTGTCACCCTTTTTGGAAGTCGAGTGGTCTGAGGAGATGTTTTTCACTCTAGTTGCAAGTCAGGGAGTTCCCAAAGGTGTTCATCTACCAGCACCTTGAAAGACATCTAATCCTAAAATTCAGATGCTTGAGATCATTATATCCTAATTATATCGTAATTGGACTATGTATGGACAAAACATGTTGCCCCCGTTTCAATCAGCGTTTTCTACTCGTGACCTCCTCGTTTTCACTCAGTTAGAGAAACACTCTCGCTGAGATGATGCGCTGAGCAAATCGCGGAGGCGGGGGTGTGGGACCACCGTCCAGCAAATCGCCGGCTTCTTTCCCGTGGAGCCTCGTATGGAACAATCCTCCAGGACCTTCACCCGTACGTGACCCGAACCGAGTCCGAGTCCCATCCGGTGACCGAACTTACCAGCTGCTTCCAAGGGGTTACCAATGGACCACCCTACACTGCTTATAGGTCACCAGACAGGACACCCTTTGGAAGTGACAGGTATAAGCATTTTTGTGACCGAACCAACCAGGGAATCAAGTGACCCGTCACTTGGAAGATCCAGGTTATTCCCAGACACGACCTAGCTGGGACTGGCGGACTACCGATCAGTTTTTGGGTGGTGCCAGTTCCAGTCCCATTAGTCGTGTCTGGGTATGGAACATCGTGATATCATGTTATATCAGCGGTTCCGTGTCGAAATGGTTTTTTATGGTTCTTAGTCCCATCCATGTGAGTGGATGTGATAAGGGCACCACCCTTATCCTCCGTTCGTTCGGCGCATGGGTCCGGATCAGTGCCTCTTCATGATGGCATTCGCTGCTTCTCGGCTCTCATGCGCGGCTTTCCTCAGCAAGTCCTCAAGGTTGTTCTTCTTGTCTTGCACGTTGCGCTGGCGGCACTCGGCTTTCGATCCTGCCGCTTACTTTGGGGGGGTCGGATTAAAAGGAGAAGAGATACACACACAAACATACAGATCTCCCTTCCCTTTCAAGGCTTTCTATTCCCGGTGCCCAATGGAGACTGTAAAGAAAGTAGTTCAGGGGTGTCTACCAGCATCCTCACTGCGTCACCAATGCTAGCTGTTTGTCAGGGCCCGTGACCCGACAGCGGAGACGGAGTGAGGATGCTGGTGACCCACCGTGACCCTAAAAGTCCAGTGAAGACCATTTTCGGCACCACCCAAGTCTTCAGGAAGTTCCTTTCTAGTAAGGGGGTGGGGAATGGGGAACTCCTTGTAGCTCCTCGGCTCCCTGTTGAATGGGGAATATGGATGCCCCTGGCTCCGAATCGCCCTCCTGAGCTTACTAGCTAGCTTTTCACTCGGATCACCGACCGTTTTCCACAGACCGGTCGAAAACGGTCGAAAACGGTGTTCCGTGACGGTCAGACCTGGGTCGGAACCAACGGCACGAACAGGGGTGTTCCGGTGTGACCTGGAACCCGCGCGGCCACGGCACTCCTCCTCGCTCGGCGACAAACTGGCACATGGCGTTGACCGAGGAGAGAGACTTGTTCCGGGTTCCTTTTGTGGAGTCTGAGCCGAAAAAGAGACAGAGAGGGATATACCCTTGAAGGTGTCAGGTTCCCGAACTCAGTTCCCTAGTCAGACAGAGGGATATACCCTAGAAGTCCAGTTCGACTCGATTTTGACCGGCTGAAGGTGTCAGGAACGTTCCCGAACTCAGTTCCCTAGTCAGACCATTCATAGTCTTTGATTCCCAGGGTCTATGGTGTTCAGAATCGAACCCATCCTGTTGTTGCCTTCCCGAACTCCGGACCGACCCGTTTCCGAAGCCCAGGACCGGTTCCCGTTCCGGTGGGCTCCACCCGTGTCCGGCGCGTGTCCGGGTCTCAGAGGTTCAGACCCGGCTTCTGAGTTCAGACTCCTTCACCAGCGGTGAAGAGTCGAGTGGCATGTTGTGGGGGGCAGTCGAACTCTTGACGACGTCATGGGTGGAAAAAAGAACACCAGTCACATGGAGGGCCTGGGTGGTGTTCGTCCCATCTGAGTGGAGGCGTGGAGGTTCTTCGGGGCGGTTTCGTGTCCTCCGTTCGTTCAGCCCATCTTGTGACTTCTGGGTCAGTGAAGAGAGGACTCCTTCTCTCTTGTTCCAAACATCCTCTCAGGCCCCTTTTCGAACACAGCATGCGGGTATCTTTCATTGAACCCCCATGGTTGGGAGTTCAGAAGAGCCAGGTACGGCCAGCAACTCGAAACCAAACCCCGGTGTTTGGTAGGCCGAGATACAAATAATAGTGGGCCCAAACATATATCATATCGCATATAAGAACAAAACACGCCAAAACACGGTGATGTTCTCCGTTCTTCATGCTGATCTCCACAACAAAATCTCAGCCAGACCCACACACTCCGAGGGGTTTCTGGCCGCTGGGCACCCAAAGATCCATGGCACCCTCCTCTCCAACTCCACATTCGTCGGATGCGGGGCGGCGTACATTGGACGCCCAGTTGGATGAGGGCGACACTTTCTGCCGGGAGGATTTGCTGCGCTCCACTGGTCAAGGGGGAGGGTTCTGAAAGCAAACTAATGTCCGTGAGGAATCCGGGAAAACCCCACCCTTGCAATGGTTGAATCCCGAAGAAACACCCTTACCCATCCTTACCCAAAATTGGAGATGTATCCCAGCCCAGCCGGTCGATCCGAGTTCTCTGCGTCAACTTCTTCAGCTTCACAACCATTCGCTTCACCCGTCCCGCTCATACGACCAGCCCGACGGGTCCCGCCACACCGACGGGTCCAGCGACTTGATCGTCCGACCGATTCGGAACCGATCACGTCGGACCCGGCGACGTGGCCACCGAAGGAGGTGGAGGTTGGTGCAACGGTCGGTCCAAGCACGAAGTTCTTCACCTGCTCTTGGTATGATCTTCGCACCCAGACGTGACCGACTCTCAAACTGCCATAGCTAGGAGGTCCAAAACCCTAGTTGTGAGGGTCAAAACCCGAGCGAACTGGGGGTCTAGTGAGCTTTTGGGCACGAGAAATCGTGCCCGAGCCACACCTGTTCGCAATCCAAAAACTCATCTCTTCAATCCCAGCCGATGCCATCGACCCTGGCAATCGACCAGGGTCGAACCCCGGGGAACTTGGGTCCAGGACCGGAAGACTGGGTGGCGCACCATGTGGCCCGAGTTAGTCGAAAGTGGTGGTCCTCCTGGACGTGTTCGGTGACTCAATATTCGACTTCGGTGCTGCCAAAGAGATGTTGAATGCCAGCACCTTGCAACATATAATAATTATAATATATACTGTATATACCTCTTCCAACAGGTCTCCTTTGGAGGGTTGTTAGGCCCTAACAGGTTTCAATTGGTGACCTGTTGGAGGTGCTGGTATATATAATGCAATCCTGGTATCGGACCATTATGTATCGGACCATTATGTTGCCCCAGTGAAGGAGGTAACGGAAGTTCCCTTTCAATCAGGTACCTTCCAACAGATCTGCGAAGTCGCAGGCTTTTGCCGACTTAGAAGTCGCAGGTGGTGACCTGTGAAGTCGGGTCCTGGTATAGTCGACCTGTACTTCAAGGGCCGATACTTCAACCCATGCACAGAAAAAACCCGGAAGCCTCCTGAATGTGCGGAGCGCTCGCTAGACATGTATAGCATATCCGGCAACAGGCGTCAATACAAGCAGCATGGGGCCTGCATGACGAATTTGTCCACAAAACGCTTGAAAACAGACCCTAGGCTTCCAACAACCATTGATTTAAAGGTGTTTACCGAACAACCTGTGTTTCACTAAGGAATTTACACTACAACAACAGGTCAACCTTTCTTTTAAAGGTCTTGGAAGGCTAGGGTAGAGGGCGGCTCAGAGGCCCACCCTGCTACTGCAGACATCTGAAACTTGGACTGAGTAGCAGGTGAAATGAGGCCATCTATAGCTCACCAGGAAAGTGTGCGGACGGACCGCAGGAGACGTTGAAAAGGACCCAAATGTGGAATGATCAGCAGGAAACAGCAACGTGCCGCCGCAACTTCAGGCACAAAGCTGGCTGAAGTGAAGCACTGCTTCCAGCACTTCAGCCCACCTTAGCCAGGCCCAATCACCATCAATCACCCTGGGCCCTGGATCTTCTTAAACATGTCTGCCGGACATCAAACCAGCTCAATTTAGCAGAACGTTGCATGTCGTTGGAAGCTCCAGGCGTTTCTTGGTGGTTTCAAGATTGTTCAACCCACTTGCAAGAATATGAGTCAGGAGTTCAATCAAGTAAAGGTTGAAAATGTTCGCATCTCCGAAAACCACGCACTGACTGAGAAACGCCCAATTCTCGCGCGCGAACAGACGCGCTGAGAGGCTGAACGGCACCGTCGTTGACTGGTCTGTGAAGATCTGAAGTGGATAAAGGTGTTCCAAACAGGTAAATCGACTGAACAGTCTTCCTCGGCTGAACAGCGGTCGCTGGAACTGCCAAAAAAGGGATGCCTGAAGGTACGTCAACGTGTGAGCCGCTCATATGGATGTGATACAGGCGAGTATATGAACATGTGTCGGCAGCTGATTCTGGAAAGGCCAAGCACAGCACACATGTCATTCGAATGAGACAATACTACAATGGTTACAAGGTGCAACGCCCACAAGCACATTCACAAGCACATTCGCAGCCACATCGACCAAACAAATTCATGCTGGTCCAAGAAACCTTTGTTGCAACCACTGCAGTCGCTGGACACTCCCTGCCGGATGAAAGCGCTCGAAGCCGCCCACCGCCACGTTTTTCCGCCCCCGATCCACCAAGTACCCGCGAGGATGTTAATAAGAAAAATAACAAGACGAACCACAACAACAAATTGACTGGTCTACCAAACAACTATTAATTGGTTTACTATGTTTACTAAGTTACCAAGGGTTTGACACGACCAAATCCAGATCTGTTTCAAAAAAAGGGTCGACTTGACGGTTTAGGATCCAGTTCAGGAACCTCCGTCTTGCTTCTGACGACGAGTGGCGCTTCCAAGACCTTGAAGCGTTCCATGGCCATCGAGAAGTCCGTCTTGGAAAGGACGCAGCCCAACTTCTTGTGCAAGCGCTGACGAATTCGCCTGTTTGAAGAAGCTTTGCACTTGGTCTTTTAGAGGCCTGCCTGCTGGGACAGACATGACAAGTTACCAAGTCCTAGCACCCGACTTTACAACAGGTCTCTGGCTTCAACGACAGTGGTGACCTGTGGGCCCAATGAACGCATGGTCGCTGGATGGGGTAACTCAGTCTTGCAATCCCGCTGGTCTCCAGGAGTTGAAGCTCATGCTGTTTGGTCCAACACGCCAAGGGGCCGCCCAGACACGACCTGTCTGGGACTGCCATATATATATATATATATATATAGGGTATATGGCTACATGGACCCCCCTGGCACCACCCCAATTGATGGGTAAATATACCAATCCCATGGAGTGTCTGATGGGTATCGTGATGGTCCAACACGCCAAGGTATAAGGGTATCGACATCGATGTATATGCCCCGGGGGTCCAGTCGTACCTTCTCAGGGTGCTTTCTTCGACACTGTCATGAGACGGTGCCAAAACGTTGGGTCCGTTTTCGTACACCATCCTGGATCTGTAGCGATGCTAACATAACTGTAACATGGCCAACTTCTTGAAAACATCACCCTGCGAGACCCTGAGAGACCTTGAGACTTCGGGTGACCGGGTGACCGGGCGGGTTGCGCGGCTTCCTCCGGCCTCTTCATCATGGCGTTCATCGCGGCTCGGCTCTCCTCGGCTGCTTTCTTCAGCAAGTCCTCCAGGTGATTCTTCTTCTCCTTGGATGTGCGGTGGTTCGGAAGGGAACATCCCAAGCTTTGGGAGATACCCAGTTCGGGAGAATAAACAATATAAAACACTGAAAGCAAAACACCAGGTCTCTTGCACGTTGCGCCGACGCCCCTCGGCTTTGGATCCTGCCAGGTCGCGACGCCCTCCCAACGCCGGTTCCCCCGATCCCAACGCCTCCGTCGTCGCCTCCGTGTCTTCCGCGTCCCCTCCGGTCCGTTCGGTCGCCTCGTGGGGCCATCGACACGTCGAGCATGGTGGGGACGTGGCGCCGGGTCCGGTCTCCGTACTCTGAGCCCAAGGAAGGCGCGGATGTGGCGGGTTGGTATTCTGGCGACCCACCCGGTCCGAGCAGGGATGGAGCGCAACTGGACGGTTTTGCGGCGGAGCGGAACTGGGAACTGGAATTTTGCAGCAAAAGTGGAGCCAAGGACAGGTCGATGTGCCAGCTACCTCTTCTGATTAGTCTTCCAAACCTGAACTTCAATCAAGGGCTGGTTAGGCCTCTCGGCCTCTCAAGACATCTTTAATATATATATGCCCCCAATTGATCGGTAATTCAAGTGTTGGAAGAGCCCCCGAGAGGTCTGAAGAAGCAGTGGAGCCAGCCAAAGGCAGGTCCTTGGGCGGCCACTTGGGTGTCTTTAGGAACGATGCATCACCGATCCATCTTCCCTTCTTACCTATACCTGGAACCCCAGTCCCAACCAGAAACAAATGGTTGTTCCAATATGGCAATCGAGTTCTTTCTGGTTGTT